TACTCCATCCACAAAAATGGTTTACCATGTGAATGACAAAAGAAAACAACTCACCCAGTAGTATTGTTGACAACGGCCAGTACGGTATCTGAGTCCTGAGCCTGTTGTGTTTGCATGGGTGCGTGCGTGGGTGCTTATGTCCATGAGACTCATGTCTCCAACTAGCTACCAAACACACTGGAAGTAGAGTAGAGAGCCTGCAGGCACTTTTTTCTGACACTTCTATCCTCTAGAGCTGTGTGCAACTTTGTTTTTGTTTTTGCTAGTGGTCTATGCTTGAACTCGGGGTCTGGGGCTGTTCTTGAGCTTTTTTGCTGGAGGCTAATGCTCTACCACTTACCCACAGAAACCAGTGGTTTTTAAGGAAATCTGTCTGTCATCAAGTCCCAATTCCTTTTACAACTCATATTATTTTAAAGTCAACTTACGTTTTTTCAGGCTTAGGACATGTTCTAGTATCTGTTGTAGCATGTACCACTCTGCTACAAAGTAAAAGACACAAAAAAGCAGTCAGACATTTTTGAGGGCAGTGAGACTCTTGGTACTGTAGGATTTCAGGATAGAAATGTAAAAAAGAAAAACAAAACAAAACAAATACAAACAAGGAATTTTGACAGAGCTAAAGAAACAACTTCAGAGCACAGAACTGAAACCTGAAACAATCTGATAGGTGCACTTATAGGGGTGTGTGTGTGTGTGTGTGTGTGTGTGTGTGTGTGTGTGTGTGTGTAGGAAAGAGGAAGAAGGAAAAAAGGTAAATTTAGAATTCATGAGTCTCCTCTTCTTCTTCCTTATTTTGTGTACCATTCAGGCTAGCCTGCAATCCATTTGGTAAACGAAACACTGGGTTAAGTCAGAAATGAAGGGATGGTTTCAGGTAATAGTTTATGAAGAAAAACAAAAGTAAAAACACTAGCACAAATATTCTAATACCATGGACTAGTTTCTATTGAGTCTTTTTTTTGAGGGGGAGGGTCTGGTCGTGGGGCCTGAACTCTGGACCTGAGCGCTGTCCCTCAGCTCTTCAGCTCAAGGCTAGCACTCTACCACTTGAGCCACAGCGCGCCACTTCCGGCTTTTTTCTTTTTGCTTATGTGGTGCTGAGGAATCGAACCCAGGGCCTCATGCATGCAAGGCAAGCGCTCTACCACTGAGCCACCTTCCCAGCCCCCCTATTGAGTCTTGTGTAAGAAAGAAACAGTAAACAGGTCAAGAGTAGTCTAAATTATGGTACGTATGGGATAGGATTTGGTATGGACTAAAGGAAGAGCTCTATTGTAGAGCACTTTATGAAACACTTATGAAGTAATCTTCTGGGTTCAAGCCCTCAAAAAATTGTGAAAAGAAAATTTAGTTTATTGGAATGATTTTTTTCTTTTCTATGAATTCATTTTTAAAGGATATTTTGTTTAGACTATAAACAATCAAAATTTAGCTCAGTGGAAGAACATGAAAAGGACCCTGAGTTTGATCTTCAGCACTGGGAAAAAGAAAAAAGTAAAAAGCTAAAAAGACACTTACACATACAAAATAATAATAATAATAATACTGGTACTAGTCGTAGTAGTAGTAGTGGTAGTAGTAATAGAAACAAAAAAGACTGAATTTAACTAAAAACAAAGTCATCTCTACATAGCTGCTGCTTGCCACCAGGAGTCCAACATGCAATTGTAACACCAAAATATATAGACTATTAGAAAGAATGTACACTTCAGGTGGTTTCTACTGAGGAAGAAAACTGTCAGATACTGAGCAAACCGCAAATAGTGAACTACTTGGGGCTCCAAAACAAAGCATCAGACATTTATGGATGCTACAAGAACTCTGAGTATACAGTGATCGACCCCTGCGAGAGGTAAAAGTAGCAGTAAAGTAGCAGCAGTATATTTTATTTTATATATACATAAATATATGGAGATACATCTATGTTTATATTTTAAGGCTTTGTAAACCTTTCCCACTCTCCTATAAACCATTCCCACTCTCTTTACCACACTCTTATAAATACCTCCTATGCTCTTAAATACTTTCTACACTCTTTATTTATTTATTTTGCCAGTCCTGGGCTTGAACTCAGGGGATGGGCACTGTCCCTGGGCTTCTTTTGCTCAAAGCTAGCACCCAACACTTAAGCCACAGCGCCCCTTCTGGCTTTTTCTCTTTATGTGGTACTGAGGACTCAAACCCAGAGCTTCATGTGTGCTAGGCAAGTGCTCTACCACTAGGCCACATGCCCGGAGCCCCACTTTCTACACTCTTAAATTTACATAATTTTATCAGCAAAATCCCATGATATAGCAAAAACTCTGCAATACAGATTTGGATTTTTTTTTTTTTGGTTAGTCATGGGGCCTGAACTCTAGGCCTGGGCGCTATCCCAGAGCTCTTCAGCTCAAGGCTAGTGCTCTACCACTTGAGCCACAGTGCCACTTCTGGCTTTTTCTGCTTATGTGGTGCTGAGGAATCAAACCCAGGGACTCATGCATGCAAGACAAGCACTCTACCACTGAGCCACCTTCTCAGCCCCCTGGATTTTTTTTAACCCATGATATAATAAAGCTGCAAAAAGGGAACTGCAATATAGTGAGGGAGAACTGCACTCTATGAAGACTGAAAAACTACCTTAGTAAGCTGCTTGGGGGCACAGATACTGTCTTCTCCATGGGACATGAATAAACCAGCAGCTGAAGACAGGATCTGATAGGAATCAACTTTCTTCCAAGGGTATACACCACAGGCTTTATTCAGATTCTTACATCCTATTTATACAATGTGAGCTACCGTTAAAATACTTGGGCTGAGTCACATCTTTCTTCCCTTTGGATTTTTTTCTGGTGCCAGATACTGGGGCTTCAATTCAATGTCTGGGCACACAAGGCTAGCACTCGATCACTTGGTGTACTCATAACCTCTAGGTTTTTGGTGGTTAATTAAGAGACAAAAATCTGATGGCCTTACCTACCTGGGTTGGCTTAGAACCACAATCCTGAGATCTCAGCCTCCTGAGTAGTTAGGATTGCAGCCATCCATGCCTATGTTTTCATATTCTATCATACATAATGCTGAATTATAAGGCACTAATATCACTAATAAAAACTAATTTTACCTTCACCATGGTAATGAAGTATGTTTCTGATGTTAATTAAATAACTGAAGCTCTTGTGTTATCCTTGTGGAACAGATCTAGGCTGAATACCAGTTTCTCATCCCTACCACACTATCCACCTTTATTAGGACAACCAGCCACCCCCAGAGTGAAACTTAAAGGGACTGGAACATGGCTATCACAGTGCTTAAACTTCAGTATTTTCTAGAACAGTAAAGGCATAGAACAAGGCCTTTAATCTGTGAACATGTTAAATAACATTTCCATATACTTTATTAAGAAAAAAGGCATAGCTGTGTTCCTGATTTTACTAAACAAGCCTAGGATTTTTGCTCAAAATTTAGCACATTTGAATTTGAGTCCTATGACTTACTTGTGACGTCTGATGTATACAAACCAGTAGTACACGGATCTGCAAAAGGATCTGATCATTCTATCATCATACAAATATCTCAAATTCAATAATCCTAAGAAAAGGAAAGCACATAAGAATTTTATATTCATTATTTCTAAAATAGACTTATAGTATCGCTAAAAATAGGGGGAAAGCCACACATACAAAGTTTTTATGTAGTGCTCAGCATTTCCAAATTTTTGGCCCACAAAATGATCAGATCTATAATTCTATAGATTTTATCAATTCCTTGAGACATACATTCTTCAATTGCGTTTCTTATTTTACTTCCAGATACAGAAAAACTTTTGAATCTTCAAAATATATTAAGTTTAGCTAAAGTACAAGACATTTCACAGATTAATCCAATTGCTACATAGGAGGTCTTAGAAAGTTAAATAAAAATAGTTTCACTACATCATGATAACTTATGACTTTTCTATCTAGAAACATTGTGCAGTATAAATCAAAAGCATTAGAGAGAAAGTGGTATGTTCCTCAATATTTCATAGAGTGGATATATGTTATACTAGAAAATTAGAAGTCAACAGGAAATAAAAAGGTATTGCCCAACCAGGGGCTGGTGACTCATACCTTTAAACCTAGCTACTTAGCACTGAGGATCTTGGTTCAAAGCAAGCCAAGATAGGACAAATCCATGAGACTCCAATTAACCAGGAAAAAAAGCTGAAAATGGAGATGTGGCTCAAATGTTAAAGCATCAGCCTTGAGTGGAAAAAGTTTTGTAAGAGCTTGAGGATCTCAGTGAAAGCTCTACTATTATACTATTACTCCCCGCCCAAAAAAAAATTCCAAATAAATGGCCAAGTTAATAAGTAATAATATAGTGTCTACACTGAGGCCACCAGAAATGTGCTGTAACTTTGTAAACCCTTGATAAGAAATAAAAATAGAAAGAAACAGGAAAATATTCTTTGTAAAATATAAATGGTTTCAGGCTAAAATACTGATTCTGACTTTTGAACCTAGAGCAGACACTTGTAAATTCCATCCCGTCCAGCCATACAGGTCATACACAAAGGTAGAATGCTCAAAGCTCTCAGTCTAGCATCTGGTGCCCCACCGATGTGAACCAGAAGAGGCAAGGCAAAGCAGAAGACCTGTAGCCAGCCCTGCTTCTGCTGTGGTTGATGTGGTTCAAAAGAGGGTGAGGGGCAGCAGGAAATGATTGGACAAAATGATTGGACTCAGACCATCTCACATCTTTCAATTTATATACAACTGGACATAAAGGAAGATCTAACCCTATTCCAGATCTAGATGGTAGTTGATTCTCCCGCTACCCTTCAGGGTAAGAACTTTGCTGGATTTTTGTTTTGTTTTCAGCATTTTTAATTCCTAATTCCCCCTATTCAAGCTTGCTTGTTAAGACATTTCCTGGCTAGCAACACGGTAGCACGACTTGGCCCAACTAGATTTCACACTCAGGCTAAGTGGGCCCTGGGAGGTCCCAGGAAAATCCTCCACTCAAAGTCAACAGAATTCCCAAGTACTCAGGAGCTGATATCTGAAGAGTGAAGTTCAAAGTCAGACCAGGCAGGCAAGTCCACTAGGACTTCAGAGTCCATTAGGATTCTAATCTCCTATGGTAGGGCATCAAAAAGCCAAAAGTGAAGTTGTAGCTCAAGTGGTGGAGTACTATCCTTGAGCAAAAACAGCTAAGGGACAGTGTCAAGGGCTGAGTCCAAGCCCCAGTACTAACAAACACACACAAACACTTCACTCAGCTGACCCCCCAAAAACCCCAGCCAGCCTTCTCTCTCCCACATCCCCTCCCGTCAGCCTCTGTCCTCCACATACCATCCCACAAGCCCTCCCTCAAAAAACTCATTCATTTTATTTTCATTCTATTGGTAGAGATGAGAAGTTGTGCCCAACTGACATATTGGGAAGTCAGTAAGGCTACCCTTGCTCAGACACTCACCCCATGGTCTTTACCTATTGGGCATTCGCCAACAAATATGAGAATAAGAATTTTGTTCCCATGGTAACCCCAAACAGAAGACTCTGATCAGCTTGATGTCACTGAAGGAGGAACGGAATGTAGTTCATTTCTAACTACAGAAAATTAAAGACACAGGCTCCTTAAAGACTGGGGGCCCAAGGAGGGGAGCATGTACCAAGGCCAAAGAGCCTAGGATAATAATTTCAGGACATCTACTATCTTGCCCATTTTTTTTTCTCCTGAATCTAATGGAGGGAATTTTTCTGTTAACCCAAACTGATAAAACTAAGAGATCTCTGAAACAAAAGGCTTTATTAAGCTGAGACATATGTTAGCTAAAAATAAAGAGTTGGTACTGGAACAAATTCCCAGAGGGAACATGACAGGTAACAGGAAAATTGTCACCAGATCAACAGAACCAGGGTATTTAACAAAGAAAATTCAGGAAGAATGATAAAATTTTACACAAAGTGACATTAGCTACAAATAAAAGGGAAAGGACAACGCAAAGTGGAGAAGTCCTGAATGGGGATCTCCTCTCCCTTTTTCATCCTATGCCCAGTATCTCAGAATTACCATGTATTATGTATTCTGATTGATCTTTTGCCTTTCCCTATAGATTGGACAGAATGAGCAAGGGCCTGGATGTTTTCTGAACGGTACCTAATCTGGTTCAAATAGGCAAAAGGGACAGAGAGGACTTAGGGAATTTTTAAATGACTATTCTATTGGTGCTGGGGATTGAACTCAGGGCCTGCGTGCCATCCCTGAGCTCTACCACATGAGCCATGGCTCCACTTCCTGTGGAAAATGTTTTAATTGCTCAAGCTATCATTTCACAGAATTGGGAGGAAATAGGGCTGAGTGGTGCCTGAAGCTTCCAATCCTATCTACTTGGGATGCAGAGAGGGGAGATTGTAAATCAAGGTCATCCCGGGAATAAAAAGCTCATGAAACTACATCTCAACCAATCACTGAGTAATATGTTACACACTTGTTATCCTAGCGTCAAGAGAAGCCTGCTGGGAATGAGTAGTGCACATCTATCATTCCCAGCAATGTAAGAAAGTAGAAGTAGAAGGAGTACACAAAGCAATGTTGGGCCAGATTAAAAGCAAGTCCTGCTCCCACACACATAAAGAATTGAGAAAAAAATAAATAATTGTAAATTAACATTATACCCCTTATTTATGATTGAATGAGCCTGAAAGAGGAAAATAAATGCCAGACAAATAAAACTTGTTAAATGCAGTAGAAATAACTCTCTGGTGATTTTCATATACAACTTACCATAAAAAATCAGCAACACATCGAATGGGCAAATAAACCAGACAGACAAATATATTTTGTAAGAAATACAAACGTGGAGAAATGCTCAAATCCCTTGCCATTGACAAATAAAAACACAGAGAGTTTTCCTGTCTTCAGTCAAAATGGCTATCACCAAGAACACAAACGGCAGCAAATACTAGAAAGAATGCACTGTTGATAGGAATGTAAATCAGTATAAGATCTAAGGAAATCAGTATGGAGATTTCTAAAAAAACTAACAGGTCTACCACACAACCCAGTGAAAATACTCTGTAGCATGTATCTGAAGGAATGTAAATCAGAATATAAGAGAGGCACCTATAAATTTCTTTGTAGCATTATTTACAATAGCCAAGCTATGGAAATAGATGCTTTAGAAACTGTCAAGTGGCTTGAGAAATGTGATATGCACAATGAGAAATGTGAGATGCACAATAGAATAATATTCAGCCACAAAGATAAGTAAAGTTATATTGTTTTTAGCCCAGGTTCAGAAAAGCAAGTCATAATGTTTTCTCTCATATGTGGAAAAACACATATGTAAACAGATACAGGAGATCATACACTCAAACATACAACATTTTGTCACTGTGGGGCTGTTGTAGCATTAAGAAGAAGAGGAAAGGAAAATAATGTTGAAAATTTCTTGAAAACATTGCATCTGTAACTGAAAATGACATAATGAAATCTCACTACAAAAGAAAAAAGCTTTTGAATAATAAGGGGTAGAGAGAATGGGGAAGGGGGCAGTAAGCAAAGGTCATCAATCTGATTAAAGGACACCATATGCATGTGTGAAATACCCTGAAGCCTCTAAAAAACTAAAAATTGTACATGTCAGGACCCTGACATACTGTCCTTGGGCATATATATCTGAAGGAATCTAATCAATATACAAGGAAGACACCCACACACCCATGTTTATTGCAGGTTTGTTTGCAATAGACAAATGGCAGAATCAGCGTAGGTACCTGATAACTGATAGGTAAATATATACCATATAATATTACTCAGTCATAAAGAAATACTTAACTATGTCATTTACAATAAAATGGAGGGGACTGGAGATCATCATTTTGAGTTAGACAAGCGAAGCTGAAAAGGCCAAATATGTTTTCTCTCACTTGTAGAATCGAGACTTTAAAGGCATACATATATATGTACATATACACATACATGGAGCTGATGGGACAGTCTGGGGAAGTAAAAAGGAGAGGAGAATGGAAGGTAAATGATAGCAAATTACACTGAAGCTATGTATGAGGTGGTAATCTCACTGAAGGCTGCTAACAACAGAGGGGTGGGAGATGGGAAAGAGCAAGAAGAGGAGATTCTCATTAAAGTGGAATGCATGTGCATGAGTAATATGGCTATATTACTTGTTATAGTTACTAGACAATACCAAGTTTAAATAGGAACTGCAATTACAATAGCTTCAAATAAAGATTACCTAGGATAACCCTAAATAAGGACTAAATATTCTTCCTTACAAATATAACATCTCAAAAGAAACATGGATTAAGGTATTAGAAAATGGAAAGGTAGTCTGGAAGAGTTCATACAAATATTAATTAGTCATTGATACTAAGGGGATACCTATACAACAGAATATTATTTGACAATGAAAAGCAATGAAGTATAGATAGATAGATATGTACTTTAAGGTGGGTGAACTTTGAAAATACAAGCCATGACATATCTACATGAAATGTCCAGAATAAGAACATAGGACAGAGAAAAATACTTCAGTGTTTGTCCTAAAATTCTAGTGGGAAGTCAGTAAGAGAATAAGAGAATGACTAGTATTGAGTATAGAGTTTCTTTCTGGAGTGAAGAAAGATATCTAAAATTATAGAATGGTAATGTTAAGTGGTAGCTTCCCAACTCTGTAAATGCAAATAAAGTGTATTGAATTGTATACCTCAAAAAGAGCGAATTGTAGGTTCTAGGAACTGGATCTCAATACATAGGTTGAAAACCCCAGATGTCCCTCTACCTCTAGGAGAGGCTAATATAAACTACATTGCCATCTGAAGGTGCATGGGATGCATGTTAGGCCTTCCATGAATGCAGAATTGTTCAATTCCTGAGGCTTTGAAGACACTGGTCTCAGATTCTCTGCCCTAGAACACAGCCAGCCTACAGGTGGAGTTGTCACGATGGCTCCGGAAATGAGGTCCTGAAGTCTGTGGAAGGTGATCCTGGCCCCGGCCTCCTGAGTTGCCTTGTCCTTTCACCTGCGTTCTACACACCTTTCCTGCTTGCTTCATTGAGGACATTAGGAACTTCATGGTCAAGCCCAAATCTTCTGGAAGCCAGTCTTGGCAGAAATGTGGGTCATCTCCACATTCTGGATACAGGTCCTGCAGTGAGAGAACTTGGTTGGTTTCTTGCTCTTCAATAGCAAAAGAACTGGCACACATGGAATCATGATCCTACTAGATCAAGCCCGATGTTTCTAGAACACTGTGGCTCTTGGGGGTGGATAAGGTTGTGCACCAAAGCTATGGAAAAACTTCAGCAGGGTGACCAGGAAAATCCTCCGCTCTGGCACTAGCGCCTAAAGTGCCTTTTTTTTCACTGCATGGTTTGCATAGCTGGGTGAGGTAGGCACCCTCACGCAGCAAGTCGGGGCCCTCAGCTCCACCACTCGGCCAAGCCCCACAGATCACAGGACTCAAGAGGTAGATAAACAGCAGTAGAGATGACCCAAGGTGTATTGCTCCACCAAGCTCCAATGGAGAGTGATCTGGGCCTAGCAGCTAAGATTCCCAGGCCGCGGCCTCCGGTCCTGAGGCTTCCCAGGCTGCTTAGAGGCCAGCGGGCTCCACAGATGAGCACAGCTGCAGAGCAACTCGGCAAGTCAAAAGGTCTCCCAGGCTTTCGGGAAGCTCTTTGCAAGGGACCCCACATCTTGCCCCAGGAAAGTGCTGGAGACAGAACTAAGTTTCCTCGAGGGAAGTTGGAGATAACCGCTATCAAAGCTCTGTCCAGATACAGGATGACCCATTGTAACAAGGAGATGTACAAGACACTGTGGAAAACAAACTTCACAACTTTGTGGGGGGAGGAGGGGAGGGAGATACATGCACAGGATGGAGGGAAGCCATGAGTAGGACACAGAGTAAGTGGGAAACTGAACAACATACAACAAAGAAGCCCATCAGCTCTACTGGACATAGAAGATAAAGAACTATTCAAAGGTAGCTATGGGAAGGGAGGAATGAGAGGGAAAGAGGGAACAGTCTATACTAAGCAAAAGGAAAGAAATGCAAACATCACCTGATGTGGAAGAAATAATTTGTATTGTCAAAGCTCATAGAATTCACAAACTATATAGACCATGATAATGACAATTTGCCTTGTGAAGTTTAAAATGTGTTTGTGACTTTTTTTTTTTTTTTGTCGGTCGTGGGGCTTGAACTCTGGGCCTGGGCGCTGTCCCTCAGCTCTTCAGCTCAAGGCTAGTGCTCTACCTCTTGAACTACAGCGCCACTTCCGGTTTTCTGGTGGTTTATTGGAGATAGGAGTCTCACGGTCTCTCCTGCCCGGGCTGGCTTTGAACCTCGATCCTCAGATCTCAGCCTCCTGAGTAGCTAGGATTACAGGCGTGAGCCACCAGCGCCCGGCTTGTGTTTGTGACTTTAACTAAGTATCACTATTCCAAAATACTGTGAAATATGTGAAATTTATGTAATCACCTAATCTCAGTTTTTTAAAAAAGTGAGAGAAGGGATGGGTTAGGAGATATGGGTGACAATGTTGTCAGACACCTTCTATTTATATACTGTTTTGTAGAATGGGAACTTCTTTGTACAACTATTTAAGGATAATAAATATATATATATATATTTAAAACACTGTAGAAAACAAACTTTACAACTTTTCAGGGAGTTGGGGTTGGGAAGGGAGGAGTTGGGGAGGTGGGGAGGAAAGGGATGGTAGGAGGAAAACGAAGGAGGGGGTAACAATGCTTGATATGAAATGGACTCATTACCTTGCTCATGTAACTGTAAGCTCTCTGTACACTATCTTTACAATTAAAAAAAAATTAAAAACCTGTCCTTCAGGCCACTCACCAGCGTAAGCTCCGCCCCAGCATAGCACCTGCCTCCTTCTTGGGCCAATCCCGGCAGAGGTCCCTCCCCCAGCACAAGCCTGCCCCGAGCATAGGTTGGTTGTGGCATAGGGCCCGCCCTCAGCATGGGGCCCACCCCTCAGCATAGGCCTGCTCCCAGTATAAGGCCTTCCCCAGCTTGCTCACAGGTAGGCCCACCCTCAATGTTGCCCCGAGTCCAGCATTGGGACAGGCCCAGCATATGTGTCACCCTCGGCTTAGAGTCCACCCTCAGCCCACCCTCAACATAGGCATTGGATATATACATTCACCCTTGCATTAGTTCCACCCATGATACTGGCCCTGCCCCAGAGTGAGCTCCCAGAATTCCTCCCAGAATTCATTCACACAAATCCCAGGCAAAGCAGGGGGCACACCAGATCTGGAAGACCACAATGACCAAGGGTACCATGTGTGAAACTGCTGGGATGAAGAAAAAGACTACGTCAATCTCCAGAGAGATCATCTCTTTCAAAATAAAAGAAAGGAAAAGGGGGCTGTAATACAAGTCTCATGGAAGGCCTGCTGATGAAAAGTTCTCATCTGATGGCTTTGGGTCTTCTCTCAAGTGGGCCTCCACTCTTTGGCTAGGGGATCACAATTAGTCCTATGTATATGAGACACTGGGTAGTTACATAGAACGTGATGTAAGCTCCACAGCCACAAAACTTGCTGTGTTTTTGTACAAATTATATAGCTAATAGATGGCAATTGGGTACTTATTCCATATGGAATGAATGAAGTGGCAGAATAAATGACTTCCATATGGCCATGGAGCTAGTAGCACTGGTGTTTTCGCTTGTATGATTTTATTACTACCCATCATTTTAATATGTCCTAAAAAATAAGTCTGAAAGGAGGCAAAGTTTGTATTTGTGTGGAAGGGATGATGAAAAATAGGGTGAATATATTTAAATTATTAATGTTTTGTGGAGAATGAATGTGTGTATATATCTGTGTGTATGTGTATGTATGTCTTTTGTAGGAACTGGGCCTCTTGCTTATTTTTTTAATCAGTGGTGCTCTACCATTAATACCACTAGCTCTTTGCACTTAATTGGAGATAAGAGTCTTACTGGTTTGGTCTGCAGAGCTGGCTTTAAACCTCAGTTCTCAGACCTCAGACTCTTAAATACCTAGGATTACAGGTGAAGATATCAGGGTTTTCTTTTTTAATGACAGTTAATACCAAACCATTCAACAAAATTATTCTTAGGAAGCCAAACCATCTTCTGAATGGAGGAAGAAAGGGTAGAAAATTCAATTTACATTATGTAAAAATTGAACTAAGGGACCTGAGGGTAGGGATGGGATAGGAAAAGAAGGGGTGACATTCATCAAGATGAATTGCACTCATAACCTGACTTTTAGAGTTGAAACCCCTTCGTACAACTACTTAATAACTAAATAAATAATTTTACAAGTCAGTTAAGTGACAGGTTATTTAATCTTCTACAGGCAGAAAGAAAATGCAGAAGAGATGGCCAATGGGTAGGAGGTAATATGGAGATCAACAAGTTGAAGATCCTGAAAAATGTTGAAGAATTGGTATCCTGAAGATATAGGCTGGAAAGATGAGACAAAGATCAAAGGGATGGAATATTACTGTGGGATAATAGACTCTGTGTGTGTGTGCGTGCGTGCGCATGTGCACGCACAAGCACCTGTTCTGGGACATGATATCAGGGCTGGGGTGCTGTCCTTGAGCTATTTTGCTCAAGGATAGTGCTCTACTTTCTGAGCTACAGCTCCCTTACAGCCTTTTTATTTGGGTGTCTACTACTTGGGGATAAGAGTCCCATGGACTCTCCTGTCTGGGCTGGCTTTGAACCATGATCCTTAGATCTCAGTAGCAAGTAGACAGTCATGAGGCACCCACACCAGGCTCTAGACCTTCTTTTCTTTTTTTTTTGTTTTTTTTGGGGGGTCCGGTAGTAGGGCCTGAACTCTGGGCCTGGGCACTGTCCCTCAGCTCTTCAGCTCAAGGCTAGCACTCTACCACTTGAGCCACAGCGCCACTTCCGGCTTTTTTTTTTTGCTTATGTGGTGCTGAGGAATCGAACCCAGGGCCTCAGGCATGCAAGGCAAGCGCTCTACCACTGAGCCACCTTCCCAGCCCCTTCTTTTCTTTTTCATTTTAGAAGACAGAGCTCTTTTAGATTATAAGATCTAGAAGTAGCTATAGTTGAGTTCAAGTATAGCTAAAGATCTAAGATTAAAAAGTCTATTAATTGAGAATCAAGCTTATTGAACCAAACAATATCATAGGTATTGAGTTCTGAGAAATTTTATTTCTCTTCAAGATCGTTACACTGGTACTCATACCTCCCCCTCCCTCTTTCCCAAGATCTCCACAGAATGTGCCTTTCACACTTAAATATGGGCTTAAGAGCCCGAGAGAGACATGGAAAGGCTCTGCCCTCAGAAGACAAGCAGTAAGGAAAGGATGCAGTGATCTAGGCTTGGCTTTTATTTTGACACCCAGCATTCATTTTCCATTTTGAAAACAGTGTCTCTACTGTCCTCTGAGAATAAGGACACTGAAAGTAACTCCCATTCTTCACTCTCCGTTTATGTATAAATATTATATACAGTCTTTCCCACTCTACTACATGCCAGACACAGACATGTGTTCCAAAGCTGGGAAAAGGAAACCTCTATTCCTCCAGCCTCAGTGACCCATGAACAGATGGACTCATGTGACTAAACTGGAGCTAGCCAGACTCTATGAAACTTTTGCATGGACTCTGGTAAATGAAGCGCCATATCTTCAGATGCATTTCAAGCTGAGAAGATAATATACTGACCTTGCCAGTAGCCATCATATGAAGCTTCAGAATGAAGCTGGCACAGGAGATAAAACTGACAGGAAACAGGAAGATACCACATGTTGTCTGGCATGGAGCCCTAGAGGAATGCTATTTTCCAAAGCCAGATTACATCTCAACCTCTCAGTGACATGAGTCCTTTTGTGTTTAGTTGGATTGTATTTTATATTGTTCACATAGAGATCTTTCCTCACAATACTAAGAGCTCTCCATTTCTGGTTCCTGTTTTGAGCTAGCTCACCAAATATCAGTTAATTTCTCTGTATC